CCAAGGACCCCATTTCTCCACGAAAACCTGCAGAGGTTCATTACATCCCCTTGTCCAATTCATTAATGAAGATGGTGAAAAATGACAGTACCAGTATCAATGGCTGAAGAATGCAGTAGTAATCAGATGCCAGCTGGACTTTGTACCACTGATCACAGATGGTATCCCACCAAGCCCAGCTGGTCAGCTAATTTTCCATCCACTGTGTACGCCACTTATCCAAATCATCTCTCTCCAGTTTGGCTACAAGAATATTATAAGAAACCACGTCAAGGGCTTTATTAAAGGTAACCATTTTCTGCAGTTCCCTTGTCCACAGAATCTGTCATCTCATCATAAAAAGCCATCAGGTTGGTCAGGTGTGATTTACCCTTTGTTAATCCATGCTGACTGTTCCAAATCACCTTATCCTTAACTGTACTTGGGTATTCACAGCTTCAGGGAGGATGGTTCTATAATTTTCCCAAAGAAAGGGGTCAGGCGGGCTGATCAGTCTCCTGTACTTCTGTGGGTCACCTTCTTGTCTTTTGGGTAGCAAATGCCATCTACCTTTTTACACTTACCAGGAACCTCATCTATGACACTCTTGGGGCACACAGGCAAGAATGATAGAAGTGGTAGCTCTTCCTACTGACACAGAAAGTTTCCTAGAAGGGAATGGGAACAAGAGAGGACAGAAACCAACAGGACAGGATACTGCATACCCACATCCTACTGTTCTGTATCTGCCAGGACTCAGCAAATACCAATAGCTCCTTAAGGGCCAGGGGATAGAAGCTGAGAGAGATACAATGACTAGCAAGGTAGCTGCCTCACAAGCCAAGGCCCCATCCCCACAGTACCCAAGCAAGGTAAGCAGGACAGGGGTGGTTGCCAAGGTCAAGCCAGAATTCAGATCCTCAGACACCTAAGACAATAGGCACACATCACATCCACGATAGGTTCCTTCAGTGCTAACAAAGGTCCTCATGTTCACATTGATCAGTTCACTTCAAGCAGCATAGCACTAGCTTTTTCACAATAGCCCAATTTAGATGGAGGGCAGCATCTCTTGCCTGTCCAGGGCCAGGGTCTTGCTGTAGTATTGTGGCTTCAGTCAACACAATAAGGAGGAGCAGAAGTGGCAACTGAGCAAATGGCATCTGGCACAATCCTCTTGGTAAGCAGGCGCACGCAGCAATTACACAGTACGTGTAGCACAGGCCAGCAGCCAGCTGCAGCTGCAAAGTCGTTTGAGTGCAAAGGCTTATGGGAAAACTACTGAGCTAACAAGTGAACCAAGCAGAAAGGATAAGGCCAGTCTATCCCAAAGATCCCAGCCTTACCAAAGGAGCATAGACACAAGTCACTGTATAAACATGGTCACAGAGTCAAGATCCGCTCCTTGGTGTAAGAGAGGAAGATGTCGCTGTGTCCACTGGGACTCAAAACTGGCATTCTTACTTACTGGGGTGTTGTGGTTTGAGGCTTGGAATGGGGTCGTGACCTTCCAGCAACTGGGAGGACCCCGGGTGGGTGTGAAACCATTGTATTCCCTCCCCTTCCCACACACAGGCAGGGAGTGGTTTCTAGTTTCACTCCTGCCTTGGAGCTCGGAGAGGAAAGTTCTCCTTTCACTCCGTGGGACCCTGGAACCATTTCTGAGGGTTTTGTATATTTTATTTTTTGTATTATTCCCCTAATCTTTGTATATATTATTTTCCTTACCTCCCTTTTTCATTTTCTGTTCCTTGTTGAACAATATACTTCATTTTTTTTTTAAAAAGTGTCTCTCTCTCTCTCTTGGGGGGGGGGGAGAGGCGAGTACATAGTTCTGTCCCGTGTGGGTCCTGCCCTGAACCCCTTTTTACACAGAACCAGGACATGGGGGCATGGGGTCAGTGAGCAAACTTCTCCAAATACCTGGAATATAATTGTCACAAGTCAATGAATAAATCCTGTTGAAAAGAATTCACTCTAGCATTTAAGTCAGCTTCATGTATCATTATGCAGAACAAAACCCAAAACAAATTCTTGACAGGAACTGTGCGTTTTTTGTCCTGGGTACACTTAAGGGTACAATCAATCTTACTTAATGTAGGCAGCATAATACAGGTGATAAACTCCCAAGAAAATGCAGAGTAAAACCTTTTCAGAGTTGCCAACAGTATTACAAAATTGCCACTAATAGTTGGGCATCCAGCCAGAAAAAAACAAACAAATGAACAAACAAACAAAAAAAACCCCAACCAAACACACACAGTTATTAGGAGAGCTCTGCCTGACAAGAAAGCAGTTAAAAACTTCCTAAACAGTTCCTTAGTTTGAGAAAAGAAAGATACACATGGTGGAAGGGGAGGACAAAGGGATCAGGTCCAGCCAACCTGAGTTCATGAAGGGCAAGTCCTGTTTAACCAGCCTGACCTCCCTCTATGATCAGGTGATGTGTCTAGGGAAAAGCGGTGGATGTTGTCTACCTGGATTTCAGCAAGGCATTTGGTAGTTTCCCACTGCATTCTAACGGAGAAGCTGGCAGCTCATGGCCTAGGCAGGTGGACTCTTAGCTGGGTTAGAAACTGGCTGGATGGCTGAGCCCAGAGAGCTGTGGGGAATGGAGCTAAATCCTGTTGGTGACTGGTCACAAGCAGTGTCCCTCAGGTCTTGGGTTTGGGACTCATCTTGTTTAATATCTTTATCAGTGACCTGGATGGGGGATCGAATGCACCCTCATCAAACATGCAGATGACACAAATGTAAGTGGGAGTGTCAATCTGCTTGAGGGTGGGAATGCTCTGCAGAGGGATATGGACAGGCTGGAGCAATGGGCTGAGGTCAACTGTGTGAAGTTCAACAAGGCCAAGTGCAACCCAGGCAACACTGCAGGGTTGGGGAGGAGTGGCTGGAAAGCTGCTTGGTGGAAAAGGACCTGGGGTGCTGGTGGACAGCCAGCTGAAAGTGAGCCAGCAGTGTGCGCAGGTGGCCAAGAAGACCAACGGCATCCTGGCCTGCATCAGAAACAGTGTGACCAGCAGGAGCAGGGAGGTGATCATGCCCCTGTACTTGGTACCTGTGAGACCACACCTTGAGCACTGTGTCCACTTTTGGGCACCACAGGATAAGAAGGACATTGAGGTGCTGGAGTGGGTCCAGAGAAGGGCAACAAGGCTGGTGAGAGGGCTGGAAAACATGCTTTATGAAGATTGACTGAGGAAACTGAGGTTAATTAGTCTGGAGGAGACCAAGAGGTGACCTTGTTGCTCTCTACAGCTACCTAAAAGGAGGCTGCTGGGAGGCTGGTGTTGGTCTCTTCTCCCAAATTACTGCTGATAAGACAAGAGGAAATAGCCTCAAGTGGTGTCAGGGGACGTTTCAATTGGATATTAGGAAGCACTTCTTCACTGAGAGTGTGGTTAGGCACTGGAACAGGCTGCCCAGGGAGGTGGTGGAGTCATTATCACTGGAGTTGTTCAAAAAACAAGTAGATTTAGCACTTGAGGCTGTGGCCTAGTGATGAGGGAAATGTTGGGAGGGTGGTTGGACTTGATGATTCTGGAGGTCCTTTCCAACCATAGTGATTCTATAACTTTTCTCAAAAAAAAAAAAAGCCCATTTGTATTTCAGAATACAGACAGAGCTAGGGAATTATAATGTTTATGGGTAATAATATCCAAGATGCCTACAAGCATACATTTTCAGGAATACTGTAGTAATGAAGGCTTTTTAAGTACTCATGCCAACCAACTTCCACCTCCAAGTCAGAGCAGGAGGGTGGAGAAAGATGCTGAAAAGAAAAACATTCTTGGTGTGTTTTCTCAAGTCTACATGCTGTTAGGAGTTCATCAGAAAAACCTTGGGATTCTAGTCCAGTCACTTGCAACTATGAAACCTTTTAAGAAGGAAGATCTGCCACTTATTTTAAAGCTGCTTTTCATTTACAGGAATATCTTCAGTGCCTATTTAACTAACAACTTTATAAACTAATAAAAAAAAGACAAGACATAGCCTTCAAAAGTTTATTTGAAGTATAAAAATTGTTCAGTGAAATATCTCCAGTTTTTAATTTCAGTATAAAGGTTTAAACAGATAGAATCAAGTACCAAATATCTGAAAAAAATACAATTCAATTCAAAATTCTGAACAATAATGAAAAGGCACTTAAACAAAAGATATCCAGTAAGAAATATAACTCTTATGTCACAGTCAATGTGCATTATCTAACACTTTGTAAACAAAGAAATTAATTACAGTCTGGTTAAAGTGAGCAACATAGTCCAAACAAGGGTGAATACAATCTCCCTGCACTTAATCTCACTTTTCTTTTAAAGTGTGAAGAAAACAGAGAGCAAAACAAGAGAAATCTTCAGTGAAATACCAGTTTACAGCACTATGTTCTGATGAAGAGCTCAGAGTTCGATCTGTAAGAAATTTAAGAAAAATGGGTAGCAGCATAAATTCCTCCTGGTATCCCCTGATATGTATGTTTGAGGGTTTTATATTTGTATTCCCAATTTAAACAAAAGGTAGGCTACAAAAATCAAAAGCCTTGTTAAAAGCACAGTAATCAGATAAGCATAAGCAGAAAGGAACAGTGTAATGCTTGGGAATCCACTGCAACCTCTTTTCCACTAGGAATATTTTTCCACTGCCAGCAATGGAAAGTAACACAAACAGAAGTTTTCCAGAATCAGAAAACAAATTATGACAATTTAAATGAGTTTGAGGGTTTTTTCTGGACAAGATTCAACCAACTCCTGTAACTTAAAAAAAAAAATATTCATAATTGCCTAAAAGAAACAATACAATTGGACAATGGAACTTTCAGCACCGAAGTGTGTTTGTGCAATAAATACAGAATAAGACCCCGATCATTTGCAAACATGAGGCTGATAGTGGGAAAGATTTGCCAACACAACTTTTTTTTTTTAATAATTACTCAGAAATATGAAAAACAGGAAAACGCATTTTAGTGTTGGCATTTTTTCCTAGTGATACTGAATAAGACCTGTGATACAGTAGTGCTATTATAGCTTTTGCAGCTTTTTTCCCAGATATATTTTTCTGTAGGTTTGAAAAACCTCTTTTGAGTCTTTGATTGTAATGTGAAGAGCCTCGCTGTTTCCATCCAGGATCTGTATAGCTGTATCAAGTGGAATACTGTCCTCAGCTGAAAGACAGAGAAGCAGGTTAAATCAAAACTCTAAGAATCTCAAATGACTCTGCTGCTTACAATGTGGTAGTGGAGGCCACCCACTGTCACAAAGGATGCCACAAACCTCCTTCCTAAAGCACCAGGCATCTACGATTTAAATCAATCAAACACCAAAATGGTCATTTGGGTATCTTTGTAAGAAAGATTTCTCAAGAGTATTAAGAAAAGTATGAATGAAAATGTGCATTTGTCAAAGTAAGAGAAGAAACAAGAAGGGCTAAAACAATGGCAAATATCAACAGCCAAGAATACATTCAAGAGCAATACAATATGTAAACATTAGAAAGCGTGTTGCCTGCATCAAGACCACAACACAGATAACTAGATAACTTGCTTGGCAGAGGACTTGCACTCTGATAGAGAAGAGGATGGCAACATGGTTACAGCATGCTCAATGCACCGTGTTGCTTCCTGTTAGACCAGCACAAAGACAAGACTGTGTCTAGGAAGAAACTGAATGCAAAGAAATGAAGACAGTGGGAAGCAACCTCACCCAAGATTTACAAAGGATGGAACAATGAAGATCATGAGGTGACAGATGCCAGTGTTGTACCTGTTGAGTCCTAAGGGTACAAAAGACCATACAAAAAGTAATTTGCTAGTCAAGAGAAATAAGAAAGATGTAATAGTGGCACCACTTTTCCTTTGTGTGTCATACAAGCACTCCTGTCCAGGCTGCTGGGGGACACTGGTCCCAGTACGCATGAGCACAGGTGCACGTGCAGACAGCATCAACATACCCTCAAAGGCAATTAAAATGAAAAAAGAATTTTCTGGTTTTACAGTCTCACGCTAGGTTTTATTATGTCACTTCCTAAATTTTCAAGTGGGAAAGAGCTAGCTTAGTCTTTACTTACAGTTTAAAACTGTACTTGAATCTTGTCAACAGTGCTACCTCCAATTCAACTGCACACACATATGCAGGAGAATTCCAACAATCTCCAACACATATTCATATGGTAATAAAAATCTCCACAAATCTTTGAAACTCATATGTCTACTCTACAGTACCCATTTCAGCAGCAGAACTAGTAAAGAATAATTTTATATACTTTATTAAATTTGCTACTATAAAGGAACACTTAAAACCAAGCAAAGAGCATTTAACTTTTATTTCAAAACAGACAATCAGAAGTCATTTCACCTGTAGAGTTCTCATCCAGTTTTCTTTTTTTCACAGGATCACATTTTAACCAATCTTCTTTTTTACTCTTGACACCTGAAGAAAAATATTTTAAAAAGTTTTTGAGGTTCCTGTAACATTAGTTTTGGTCTCTAGTCAGCATCAAGTTTTAATACACATACTAGCACATGCAAAATAAAGTTTCCTTGGGTGTGAAAATGATGTGAAAATGCAAAGGCTGGTATGTACATGTTAAGAAAAAAATAAATACAGCACTTGACAGAAATATGCTTCACAACATACCAAGAAAAATGTTAAAAGACTAGGGGTGGGGAAGAGGAGGATGAAAAAAGATAGCTTAGAGTAAAGATTGCAAAGGTTATAAAGACTGTGGTGCAGGATATCTGGCCCAAGCCCTCTCTTTCTCTATGTTGCAAAAGATCTCTTGCTCTGCTGGCTACCCAGCCGGATTTATACACAACCAGGTGAACACTGAATACAAATCAGGTCACCTTTGGCAACTATGCCAAGGGAATCTGCTTTCTATGAACAAGCCAAGCTATCTTCCACAAGTAGGTTAGAGAAAGCCTTCTTGCAAAGTTACTTGAAACTGCCATGCTCTAAACTAACTAAGGCAAAATAATGCATGAAGTTGAAGGAAAAGTCTCATGTTCTTTTTCAGCTTAACACACAGCTACAGTCTGTCCAAGTAAGCTACTTCAACCCTCAGCTTCTAGAGTCCCACATTTTCACCGTCTGTAGTTTCGTGTAACATAAAAGGTGTATGTACTTTTTACTTGCAAAGTGATTTACTTACAAATTAGTAATCAAAAAAGCATCGTACCTGCCACAACAGCTTTCTCCCTTTCCAGGGAATTCTTTGCATCTAAGCTTTCTTCATCAGTGGTTGGATTTCTGAACAGTATCTCTGGACACAGCTTAAATTCCAATACTTCTTGCTTGCATGGTTTCTGAACTTCTGACACAGAAACATCCCTTTTTGCATCTGGGCTGCTTTGTGACACTTTGGGCTTTGTGTGCCGGGCAGGTCTGACTGGTGATGTCTCTAGTTTTGTCAGATAGATGCGTTCCTGCGCCATGCGTTTAAATGCAACTCTGTTCAGGTAGTGTTTTTTTGGTTCCTTCTGAAGATGTAATTTTAATCTATTATTCTTTCTATTTACGTATAGCAGATTTTTATCAGGAAACGTTTTCTCAGAGCATTTGTCTTTGTTTTGATCATCCAGACATCTCTCTTTGTTAGAAAAGCAGTTTTTAGAGATGGTAGAAGATCGAGCCCTTTTTTTCTGTAGCTTAAGCACTGAACGATCTGCTAATGAACTCTTTGCTTTCCAGCCACTTTCTCCATTCAATTTTTTAGTTTTATCAATATTTGTCATGCAATTATGCAAAAGCTTCTTGGAATTCTTTGCTTCAGATTGTTTCAGTCTTTCCTCTTCCACTTTCATCTTTTTAGGCTCTCTGGCGCCGATATTTTCCTTCCTCTTCCTTTTGTATGACTGCTCATGTGAAAGATGAGCTTTCATAGATTTATGTGGAGAATATTTGGCATTTCTTGACTTTAAGTCTACGGAGCCAAAATTTGGGAACTTTAAAGAATCAGCACGGTAACTGTTCAGCTTTTGTTTTATTTCTGCTGATAAATGGACTTTCTCTTTGATGTTAATTCCTGCATCTTGCCCAACTACCTCCTTTTGTTTCCTATCATTCTGTTCTTCAGCCACTTTCTCTTCACAGGTTTTAATTTGTTGTTCTTGACTGACTTCAGCATATTCACCTTCAGCAGTTTCTGATTTCATAAATTTGTGAACATCTGTTTTGGATTTCACAGGTAAACTTGTTTCAGTTTTAGCTTTTGAAAGGGGCTCCGTTTTGAAAGCGCTCTCCTTCTTTTTGGATGATTTTGTCATGTTGTCTGCATCTGTCTGACTACATTTCTCTGACGACTCTTCTGATGCTGTCTGACATTCTTTTTTGTCAGAATGAAATTCTTTGCCTAACAATGTGGTTCCCCTGCCAATTTGTGGCTCTTCTTTGTTGCTTTTAGATTTATCAACATCTGGGTTCTCAGAGGAATTGAGTGCTCCAGCTTTTTCCTGTTGCATTGGAAGTGGTTTGCACTCATCGCTAACCTTTAGCCAAGCTTTTTGGTTCATTACAGAGTCGTGTTTGCAAATATCTTTTTTATTTGTGTCACCACTGTTTGGTATCTTTTCAGAAACTGGCAGGTTTCTCACTCCGCAGTCATTCTTCATTGCAGCATCAGGTTTACTGTCATTTTCTTGTTTCTCTGCAGAGCTAGTATTTCCAGCTTTTGAGTGCTGATCACTAGTTTTCTCTGACCCAGACATTCCTAACTGAGGGGGACACTGTAGCGTTTTACACACTACAGATACAGAATCCTTTGAGGAGTCATCTTTTTCTTTTCTGGGATGGGAGGAGCATTGTGGGCTTGCTTTCTTTTCACATGGAGGCTGATTAGGCTGAATACTGCCTCCAAGATTCTCCTTCTCAGCTGAAGTCTTTTCTGACTGTTGACTTGCTGCTCTCTTGCTGTCACTAGAGGAACACTGGTTGGGCTTGAGGAACCATTCTTGCATCTGATCAGAACTTAACATGGCAATTTTTATCTGATCTACTGAGTCCTTCAAATGGGAATTTTTGTCACAAACTGGAGTCTCTTTTTGAGGACGATTCTCCATCCGCTTAGCCCCAGAATCAGTTTGTACTCGTTCTTTTGTTAGTATATAAACACCTCCAATGCCGTATGGAAACTCTTTCACCAGTTCAGACAACTGATTGTTTAGATATTTAATAGATCCTGCTCCAGAAAGGCTCAATTCTTTTTCTGGGCTGTTTTTACTGGACATGTAATTTTGTTTACTGTTGTCTCTTGGAACAGTGAGGGCATTTTTTCCAGCGCTTACGGTGATTGAGAAATCTAGGGAATTTTCAGCTAACTTCTGGTTTATACTAGCAAGAATTTCCAAGTCATCTTCAGTATGCTTGGAAGACACACTGAATGACATTTTTTGTTCCGAGGTAGAATCCCTTTTAAGACGATTGCCACTGCCTTCTTTCTCCAAATGACTAGCTGTGATACCATCCAAAATCTTGTCTGCTTTACTCAGGCAGGTTAGTGGTTCTTCCAGCATCCTTTGCAGCAAGGTCTCTCTTTGGGGAGTGTTATTGTTCAGCTCGCATCTAGACAAGTCCAGCCGTTGTTCCTTTTGACTTGGGTCAGACGCATTTCCTTCTGGTGAGACACCATTTAATGCAAGTGTGTCAGAGTCTGACCTGAAAATACTTGCTATTTGTGGATTATAAAATATATTGCCTTCAACAAGAGTACATACACTAGAAATATGAAACATCTGTTCTTCTAACACAGCTATAGAGGTATCTCCTGTCTCTAACAAAGCTTGCTTGTCTTTATGGTCTCTTGCAACTTCTTGAAAGATTTGACTAGAAAAACTTATGCCCAACTCAGGAAGAGGAGACTTGTTTTGTAATCCGAGCTGCAGATTTTGTCTGGCATCTTGTGAAGATTGAATAACTTGCCTTTGGTTTTTATCATATGAATCACTTGCACTTGTACCGTGTTTTACTACTTTGTTTCCATCAGCTAGTTTCGTCTGTTGCGAATGTATGTCCACTTTCTGTACCAGAAAGCAATCACTGGGTAACAAACAACCTGTTTCTGTTGTTTCTTTTTTGGTATTTACCACACTTTCCCCCTCTTTTTGCAAGCCACATGTGCTTCCAGATCCAATCACTGGACAGGTTTTACCATCAGATGTTGGACATTTGTCTGCGTGCTCATTCTGTGCTCTCTGTTCAGAAAGTACTAACGGAGAGACAACAGCAACCTGAGGTTCAAAACTTTTTATGGAATTGCAGCCCAACGCATCAAGCTTTTGTTCTGCAGAAGAAGCTGTTATAGGCAAAACCCCTTTGTCTGCACTAACCGGAGCGTTACTTTGTTCTCTGGTTTTTGTAGTTTGGACACAAAGTGAAACCTGGTTTGCTGCTGGGCTTTCATTTGGCTGGCTATTTTGCATACTTACAGATTCTGACGGATCCTTTCTCCACAAGCCCAGACATGCAGCCAGCTCTTCCACACTATAATTTCTCCGTTTAGAAGATGTATTTTCAGTAAATGGCTTTTTTTTTTCAGTTACATCACACTGGAACTTAGCTTCATCAGATTTAATTGTTTTTGATACAGAAGAGTTTGTGTGAACCATAAATGCCAGCTCACCTTTCAAACTTTCTACATACTTCTCATTAGTATCTTTTAGCAAGCTTCCATGTGTGATGGATGCATCTTCCAGTGGTTTTTCACTGCATAGGAGACTAGCCAGTATTTTATCAGCAGTAGCACCAGCTGTCTTCTCTTTCAAAATATTTGTGCTGCTCAATGCAAACTGAAGAAATGATGAGTTCTCAGGGTAAGCTGGCACAGTTTTTGATGCAGTTTTGACAGAGCTATTCACTTGACTAAAACATGAAGCATTATCCAAGGATGTCACAGGTTTTTGAGAAGAGCCCAAGGCACATACATCCCTTTGTTCCAAGATGGGAGTGCTGTCAGGATTATTTAATTGAGCTGGGAGTTTGCTCTGAGAGGGAATAGGAGTGGAGCTTGATGAAAGGCTTCCTTCTTCCACCTGAGGGTTACTTTGAGTCACCTCTAATCCTCTGTTACCAGCACTGAATACGTTTTTGTCCTTTCTTTCTCCAGGTGAAGAATTACATATTGGACTTTCTGTTCTTGCTGTTGCAGATGGAGAAGGCTGTACATTTTTGTTGGGCACCTGTGGAAGACAATTGGCAAGAGTACCTTGATAACTTGATGGAAGCGTAGTAGTACTTTTGTTACATTCTGAACCTAAGAGTTTTCTTTTATAACAATTCATCCTTTCAGACAGAACACATCTTTTTTTAACAATGAGCAGCTTTTGAGCTTCCCAATCTAGTCTTTTGTTTACATTTGTTCTTCCATCAGCAGATGTTGAAGAAACTTGAGAATTAACAGGCCCATTCATTAAACTACTAAACTGGCTTTCTTGAACCAAAGGAGGGTCACTCAGTGGCTTTGAAGCAGGCACTGAAGAAAGAGTTTCCATTTCCTGCACAATATCATATAGTTCTTTGCAAATGCCAGAGGATGGCACAGACATTTCATTAAAAGGCTGATTTGCAGTCACATTTCCACTTGAATTACAGATATTCCGAACTGATTGACCAACTTCTCCAGATTGCGGTTTCTGAACACTAGTAAAACCAGAAGCGTTTTTGGGAACTGATGGGCGCCTCTGTTGGCTAAAAGCATACTTATTAGGCACATTTTGAATGGTCTGTGGTACACCTATTGAAGTTTGTGCTGCAGCTCTTGACTCACAGTTGGCAGACAACAAAGATGGTGCAGAACATCTGCTAGGAGCTTCTGATCCCACCTGACGTGGTCGATACGGTGGTGGCTGTAAATTTGCTCCAGTATTTTGATTCGGTGAGGAATGCAAAACTTTAAACTGAGTGTTGGGATGATGTATCTGAGTTTGGACATGTTGCCCAGATGCACCAAGAGACACATAATTACTCTGGGAATAAATGTTGTTTTGATAGAGCACTGTAGTGCTCATAGAATTATTCTGTGGTATTTGTGTCTGCACAGTGTAACCATTTGTGGTGACGTACTGATGTTCCTGAAGTAAATTCCTCATGGTATTTCCAGCGTTCCTTTGAGAAGACAGGGGAGGTACATTTCTAAAGGAATAAATGTAGGCATTGGAGTTTGGCCAAGAAGTCTGAGTCATTTCTGCCTGCAAAGCTGATGTCCGACTGGAATGTTTTGGAGCTATTGGTACATAGGATGGTGGTGGCCGATCAACTGCGTATTTCAAGATAAAAAAGTCGTTACCAGCTACAGATGTTCCTAGCACAGCCTGATCTGAAGTTTTGAATCCATCAGCATTCACAGGAGGGAGGGCAGCCATGCCAGTTGGTGGAAACACCATTTGGTTATTTCCAACGTAAGCGCACGCATTTTCGGAGGGATAGGCATCTGGCTGAGAAAAAACAGGCACATTCGGAAGCACCTGAGCGTAACACGCTTCTTCACTTTGCAGGTTCTTTGTATCTGCATTCTGGAGTGGTCTTATGTTCCAGTCCATCTTTTCTTGATTTCTTTTTCTTCAGCCAAAACCCAAAATGCTAAAAGAAAATTAAAAATAACAGAACCTTAATCTTTCAGTTAAAACCTGTTTCACTTGCCAAGAAGTCATTTAGAATCCATTAGGAACAGAATTGTTAAACTTAAACTGCTGGGTAGAAGAATAATTCCACTGGCACATCCTGTAGACACTGATGTTGCCGATGTCAAGTTGCTAAAATTATTTCCCAGAACAGTTAAGGTACAAAAAGAGAGAGCAGCAACTACAAATTCTATTGACTAATGAATAACAAAATCCTCATATTATTCTGCTAATTCTATTATCATCCAACTTTTTAATCTAACAATAGATTGCTGTATTTACCTTCTCATCCAAAAACAATGGAAAAAAAAAACTAGTGTATTTGTACAACTAGTGTAATTGATACAACACACAATCCTTAAGAGCTAAGCATAAGAAGGACCTACAGAATAATGCAGGTCAGAGTTTTCAGACAAGATTACTGGACTTCAATTATACCTTCAAATACAAAGAAAGGAAGAAATTAATTTGGGTTCAGTAAAAATCTCTCATAATAATATGGCCACTTGTTTTTTGTTTTACATGTCATTTACTCTTCCCTGACACTGTGAACAGTTACTGATTTTTGAGAAATTTTTGAGTCTTTCAGTGTAGTTAACAGCACATGTAGCTACAAGCAAAGCACTCCTAATTCTGTTTGGTAGCATTAACTGAGCCAGCAGAAGGCATGAAAGCATGGAGATGACATCATTAGCTCTGCTATTGCAGTAAGTACACCTCCAGTAGATGACAAAGTTACAAATCTCTAACTCTTCATGTATTATAGCCCCGAATTTACATCGATTACCAACAAGCCCAACTGAGTGAGCATGTTACCTCTGAATGACCTCTAGAAAACTGTTAAGACACGGCGTCTTCAAAGCCAAACACCACATCAGTCTTCAAAAACAGAGAAGTGCAAGAGCCACCATAACAACATACAAGTACAAAAGCTGTTTGCACCTTGTTAAGTTCCTCTCAGTATGGCCAAAACCACACAGGACAGAACAAGCAAATTTTCTCAACAAAATGTTCCCGGTAGTTTTTCCCAGATGACCCAAGGTTCCTGACTTATTTTCATGGGCTCCTTTAGATTTTAAGACTCTTCTTATTTCAATCTTCAGAATTAGAAGCATCACTCAGATCTAGTCTACGAGAGCCAGAAAGCTGTTAACTTTCAAGGTGTTATCATCAAGATTCAAAGATAGCTCTCTCTTCCTTCACTCTGTTTTACTTCCTCTGCTCTTCAAAGGACAACAAAAGAAAACAGGAAAACAGTCACATATGACATTCATAAAAACATCAACAGTATATTAAGGCAATACTTACAGTGATAGATGGATCTTAGATGAGAAAACAGACTTTTGCATCCATGCTCAACATTTTAGACTGCTAATATTACACTGAATATTTCCTGAAAAATAATCAAGGGAGAAAACAATCATGTTCTTGAATTAGATAACCGCTGAAGAAATTTAAGATGGCTATACATTTCAGAAACATGAATGAGATATATAAGCAAGACTAAGATGCCAGCTAGCAGTAATTGTAAAACAAAAAAACAAACAAAAAAACCCACACCCAACCCAACCAAAACAACACAGCCCCCCACAAAATCCAGAGGAGAAACTGGCTGCATCCCACCCAAAGGAAGGTGGGAGGGTGTAGGAAGAGGTGACTCAGATTCACTGATTCTCTTGTTTGGAATTGGGTGTGCACAGCACTGGTCTGTGGGTAAACCCATTTATTTGTATAACTGTGCTTAAAATCTACGAATACAATAACAACAATCAATATGATGGCAAATCAATACAATAACAAATTGACATAACTGTAATTGAGTCCAACAACTATCACTGCAGTAAACAAAACTCGTATTCTATAACTAGTCTCATTGGTTAACGAAAGTACTTATGACTTGCCATGCTTGCAAGGGTCATGCCTTACACTGCTTACTAGGAAAAGGTAAAAGGTGGAGGGGTGGGAAGGAACTGAGGTAATAAAGCAGGGGGAGGGGGAAGGGAGAAAGAGAAATTCAGTTTAGGATCACCAGCCTTGTTTCTAGCAAGGTCTCCCCAACTAAGCAAATGGATGTATTACAGTTCTTTTATTCCCTTGTGGTATAGGCCGTATTCCCTAATTTACATGCAAAGCAAAGTGTGGTAACTAATTTACATAAAAGGGAAGAGGGTGGTGACCACCTTTCCTCACATGCTGGAGGAGATGGGGAAGAGTAGCATTAACCCTTTCCTCCCACTGAGTCAGAGGCAGCAGAGACCCTGTATTTAATACCTGCTGGCTGACCCCTTTGGTGAGGTGTGCAGCCAATCCCCTAATCTATAAGAGGAAGGCACCAGCCTGTGCAAGGAGATGGGGCTATCCATCCTTCTCTGCATTCCCTGCCTCCTCCAGCAAGCATGTATCACAGTATTTCTTTCATCACACAAAGTTAGAGGCGTTAACCCCTCAAGCACTACTTTGGCTCCTGCAGCAACACATAACTTAGCCAAGAGTAAAATCAAATTCTTGTCACTGTCAAGACCATAAAAACGAAGAGTACAACTGTAGTACATTATTAGCTGGATTAAGAAAACAAAGCTTGCAGCTGTGATCACAGCCTAACATTTTTTCATAACTTCAATACAGCAAGACATGCTACTTTAAAAAGTGGTATTTGGCAGAAAGCTCTTGAGAAGAATATTTGAGACATTCAGTATCAGCAGAAGACTCTGAAAGATGAATACTATTTTAACACGTGCCTGCTTCACTCCTTCACCTGCTACTTTCTCACCTTGACCAGAAGCCTCAAAAATCAACTACTACACATGTACTGCCAATTTTTCATTGGCAGTGGGTAGGAAGGGAAGGCAGAGATACATATATTGAACACAGGAATAACAGTACAGCTTTGCAACAAATCTACAATGTGACTAGGAACGCCCACACCTAGACCTCTCTATCAGATAGTTTCAGGCAGTCTCTGGTGCCTGTCATGTAATGCCCCTGAATCACTCTGTGGAGACACCTCACATTCACCTCATGTTTTGAAAGTAATTGGGGCCATCTGTGTAAAGATCAGCAAGTTCAACATCTACTCTAGAGGAAAAGGAACAATACATGCCGACAGTGGAAGGATGCATATTTCCTTCCATTTTCGAACAGCCTTAGTCTACACAAAGCTTCTACATTGATTCCTCTCAGGAAAGACTTCGATTTTTTTTGGCAGTATTTGTTACTGATTACTACTCCTGAGAGGTTCTCCTCTAGGAAAATACAGAGAGGAAAATAAATGAAGCCTTACAGAATATAACGTTACAGACTTTTGATCTATTTATTGGATTGGGTAAAATGTTCCAACCATAATTTAGTAAGTCCTTCACTGAACACTGTAACTTAATATGAAGTCTGTACAATTACACACTGGAGCCAGGGAACACAAACAGAAAAACAGAGGGAAAATATGAGCCACAGCATTGTGTTATCAACTTCTGAGAGGCAAACCACGATCACAGGAACAGTGGACTCCTCGAGGATATAGACAAAGAAAGCACACCTAAAACCACTTCACTGTCACCAGTCAAGAGGATAGTAGGACATGGAGTAAGGACTCAAGAAGTTACATCCCCTGTCCTGCGCATTGCTGAAAGTGAACGTGAACACAAATGAATCAAGAAGCTGCAGAACCATGGTGTGGGAACTACTTGTGCTGAGAGCAGACAGTAACTGAATGGCAAATCCTGAGCAAACACTGACCATTTCTGCAGAGAGCAGCTTGGCAGTAAACAAACTGCTAATTTAACATTAATGTATTTAGCATTTCAGTTAAATAGTAAATGCAACAGAAGAGCAGCTAAGACCTGCATGATGATCATCAGCTAAACTACTCATCTGTCAACTGGTTTCTATGATTCACCAGCAACATAAACAATTAGTTCAAACAGTGAGCAAATGCAGAAGGCAACGGGTTGCTGAAATGAAAGGGTATAAAAACGTAGTTCACCAGCTGTGGGCTAAGAACAGCAACAGATGACCACAAGACTGAAGTTCCCCACCACCTGAAAAAAAACCCCAACATTTATGGAGGCAAACCTCCTCCAGGGTATGTCAACACATAAGAACAGGTGTTCCTGGAGCTCCCATGAAATGAACATGGTCTCCTAAGGGCCAATGCAAGGACCTTGTGGATCATATTAGGCTGGGAGAACCCACTCTGGGACTGCTCCTTTAGTCAACCCCTGACAAAGAGGCTGGTAAGGTCAGAATGCTCTGTGTGCGCGCGCATGTCAAGGACTAGTTTATCTGGAAGACATCTGATCAAAACCGATCAAGTCAGAAGGGAATGCAGACATCAACCACCAACTGATAGTGTTGAACTGTCGGGCCGTGGCCTTGAGAAATGACACATACTCCATAGGAGTTAACAGTCAAATCTGTTTATTGCTAAGTAATACAGCCTTTTACAGTAGACAAGAGACAGCCCCCAAACCCCGTAGGTTAACAAGCCTGTTCACGTGCCTAAGCTGAGCTACTGATTGGTTAAAGTTTTTGTCCATGCGCCTTGATGGCCTTTATGTAACTCATCGTGATTGCTGAATTCAGCCTCCTCAAGTTTATCATTCGCCTGCCAAATTTATCATCCTTGTCTGGGCAAGTCACTAGCGGTGCTTCCCAGCACCTCTTGTCTTCTTTCTCCTGGCTCAAGGTTGTTTCACAGACATTCTGAAGCCTACACCAATTCTAAAGCCTTTGCTGATTTTCCAAGCTAAGCAAATCATGCCCTCCGCGTTCTGCAAGCCACGACTCCACATAGAACAGCAATACAATCACCAGTTGGACTCAACAGTAACTGGAGAAGCTCAGGCACTTTTGAAACAAAAAAGGATTCAACAGAAGTATAAAAAACGTGTGAAAATTTTAACAAGAGAAAAACAGCTTGGAGT